GGCTGTAGCCCGGGGCTGAGGACAGCATGGATTCTCATTAAACATCCCCTGGGCCTGGTTTTTCCAAACCTCCCTGTTGGCTGGACACAGGCCCTCTGGCCCACTGCTCCTTTCCCACCAACAGTGTGCTGCTTTGGTTTTGACAGGGCCTCTCTTGAAGAGTTCTTGGGGTATCGGGTCAGGTGTCCACTGCGACGGAAGTCGGTGGTTGGAGAGGGAGCCTCCGCTCATGCCGCCCCATGGGCATTTTTTCCTGTTCTGGAAAACAGTGACAGGATTCCTGTTCTGCTGCCCAGGGTGCGGTGGGGTGTGTGTGCTTGTGCCTGTCTTCCAGCCACGCTCTTGGGGGCCTTGTCGGCCCCCTGCCTGCCATTTCCTCCCAGTGGGCTGGGCCAGACGCTCCAGACACTGCTAATGAGATGCTGAGGGATTTGGCCGGAAGGCTTTGAAGTTCAAGGGGACACAACCCCATGGTCGAGGAAGTAAAGGAGCAGGTGGATCTGTTGATCTCAGATTTTTGGACGAGGAAGTGGCGCAGAGCTGACCATCAGTTTGGGACTTCTGAGCCGACCTCCTAGTGCTGTGGGCTCATGGAAGCAGGTTGGCAAGTGCACTCTGAGACAGAGACTGCTGAAGGCAGAGCTGCGGGCAGACCCACAGAGGTGGGCAGGGGCTGGCAAAGGAAATTAGGTGTCTCTGGCCCCAGGGCGCCCAGAGGTGCCTTGAGAGTGAGCTGAGAAGCTGCTGCTGCAGTGCCTCTTGTGACTTGCAGCTGGAAACAGGGCCACACTCTTTAGACGTCAGCCGAGCTGGAGAGGGCCAGGTCGTCCTGGCTTGCATGGCAGTCTGTAGACCGCCTTCTGGTCCTGCTTTGTATTCACTGCTGGGGATGTAGGACCTTCTGTGTGGAGAGGACATAGGCCCTGGGGAGACAGACATTCATCAGTGGCCATGCAGGTAAAATGCAGAGTTCTGATTGGGATGCATTCTATGAAGAACAGGCAAATTGTGCTGGGGACACGTCACCAGGAGACCTGACTAGTTTGGAGGAAGTGATGCCTAGAGGGTGAGCAAGTCGTCACCGACTCCCCAGGTCTCACTAGGCAGGGAACAGCATGTGCCAAGGCCCTGGGTGAGTGAGAACGCAGTGTCTGGTGAAGAATGATGACCAGAGTGTGACCAGACCGTGGTAGCAGCGGAACCTGGAGAGGGCAGTAAGAGTTTCATGAAGAGTTTGTGAACCAGGGGAAGAAACTGAGACATAGAAGGTTGCAGCTAGGACCCCAAGCCCTGGTCTCCTGGGCCCCAAAGTCAATGCCTAAATTACATGGTTTCAGTAGATCCCTCTCTGAGTCTCCACCACTGGAAGACAATGCTTCCTTGCTTCTCTCTATCCTCCAGTCCAGTCAGCCAGCAGGTGCCACTATAATTGGCTGCATTGTGCTAGACCTTGTGCAGGCCCTGGGGAGATAACAAGCAGGGCTGCCAGCAGGGCGCTGTGAGCGGGGACTCTGCCACACCCCGGCTTCTTAAAGCTGGTGAGCAGCGGCCTCCTGGAGAGAGTGACTTTCAGGTTGCTTGTGCGGGTCTTCCATTAACACACCGTCCTGTGTGCTCCATGCAGAATTTGCAAAGGGCTCAGTGTGGCCACAAGAGGGCGCTCGATTCCCAGTCAGCCTGGCGTGTGCTTGGGTAGCCTTGGGCAGGAAAAGCAGTGAGGTTCGTTTGGATGCAGTTTGAAACCGAACTCCCCTAGACTGATCACCTAAGCCCCTGGGGGAGGAGACAGATGTTTCAGAACTAGCTTGAGAAACTTATTCTACCCAGGGTGCTCAGGGTGGGAGACAGAGGATTAGGATGCAGTGGGGTAAGTGCCCGAATCTTCATCCAGATCTGTTACAGAATAAGCACGCAGTGAATAAGCACGCAGTGAGCACCGACTGTGTGCCAGGCTCTATGCCAGTTACCAAGGTCAGCAATGAGAACAGTAAAGGCCTGCAGTACATTTGAGGGAAAAATGAAAGGAAGGACCTTGGGAAAACTGTAAAGTGCATCCTCTCCCCTGTCGCATTTCTGCCTCTGTCCCATCTCCGTAGCAGTTTGATCTGCACCTGCCTCCTTCTCTAGCTCTGTCTTCATAGCCATATGTATCTGGATCCATATGTACTTCTTACCTAAAATCTAATATTGTGGGAGAAGGGAAGAGTAACTCAGCCCAGACCAGGAGAGATGGGAGGCTTCCTGGAGAAGATACCAGTGTAGCATCCTCAAAGACAGAGCTTAGCTGGGCAAGGAACGGGAGGCATAAGCAGAAAGTTGGAGATGAGAAGCGGTATAGTCTGTATGGCTTGAGCTCGATGAGAGGGCAGAAGAGCGGTCCAGGGGCAGATGTATGTGTGAGGAGTACATTGTGGATGCCACGTTGAAGATAAAGGGTCTCAGGCCCCATCTAGCATGTGATAGAGGAACAGGGGAAAAAATAAGAGGAGGAAATGATACGTTGATTATTGGGAGAGAAAGAGGACATCCCTGATGTGGGAGCATTTGAACTGGACCATGGCGTATGTGTAGGAGCTCACCGGGCAGAAAAGGGAGAGCGAGACTGTGGGAGCATCCTGGAAGGGGCTGTTTTACTGTTCCCCGGGAATCTGTCGGGGAGGACTACCCAGGTTCTCTTCCCTTCCTTTTCTCTCACAACATGTTTCTCATCTGTGTCTGAGAGTAGGAGGACCCCGGAGGTAGAGAGGGGTAGAGAGGCCAAGTGGGACTGCGTGTGGTGGCTCTGGTGAAAGGGCCCAAAGAGGAGAGGTGGTGGAGCAGCAGTGAAGATGCTGGGCGCAGGGAGTGGCCGCTCCCCTGCCCCGGCCTGAATGTGTTCCCGGCCACGCCCCAGGGGCCAGGCAGCCTCCTCGACACCACGGTCTGGGCTCGGGCCTGCCGGCTTTGAGCTCCCACTCCTGGGCGTCCCTTCCGGCTTCACCTCGCAACGCTCCGCAGTGGAGAGGGGGCCCAAACCCTGCCCCGCCCGTGCTGCTGAAATGGGGTGTGTGGGGAAAGCACTTCGTGCGGCCGGGGGCACGGCAGTGTTCACATCAGAGTAGCAGCAGCAGCTGTTACTAAGGCCGTGAAGCCGCCTGTTCCGGAAGTGAAAATTACAGAAGCAGCAGCCCGGTGTCCCGCCTTGTGTCGGCGACTTCAGAGCTGCAGTCCCTAGTTTCACATCAAAGCCGGAGCAGCAGTGGGCTGGGGCCTTCTGCCTGTGGTCTCTCCTCATTCGTTTCTCAGTGTGAGGATTCCTGTTGGAGACTGCGGAACTTCATCTTCTAGTTATCTGTTTGCACGGAAGATGAGCTGAAGAAAATTAATAATCCGCAGAGAATCTTGAACCCTGTGACAGTCTTACTTCGGCTTTGGCCTGTGGGTAATTACTGCGCCCCCCGACTCCCGCTCCCACCGTCTAGCCCACCCTGCTCCCAGGCAGGACCGGAGACGAGGGTGGGCTGACGTTGGACCTCGTCCTTTGCCCCCCTGCGTGAATTCAGAGTTGACCGACCACAGGCTATGACCCGAGGTGGCCCAGGAGGAGCACCTGTGTCCCCTCCAGTGTGCCATTTGGGGTCAGGCAACAATAGTGAAGACACTGGCAGGCACAGGATGCCTAGAGGATTGCATTTACCTCTTGGGTCTTGGGGAATCCCTTGCAGCAAGGCCAACCTTACTAGACGTTTCCACTTTGTCTTAGCCTCAGCTTCCCTCTTCTAAAGGAAATATCAGATAGATGTCTGTGATTAGTAACAATAACAGCATTTATATTTTGTCTTTAAGTAACTCCTCGGGGTTATTTCATTTAATCCTCACTACTACTCTAGGAACAAAGGCCTCAGGGAAAACAGAGCTGAGGGTCGCAGACGTCTGCAGACTCACCAAAGGCAGTGAAGCCAGTGTCTGAACCTGCAGAGTCTGGGTCCACGCTGTGCCGCTCACCACCAGGCACCAAGGCCCATCCCTCCGGCCCTCCCCACCTACCAGCATTGCTGCTGTGGGGGAAATGAGGGAAAGGCGGGGTGCTAGAGACCCTTCTCTGTGTAACTCCCCCACGTCCCCTGCAGCCACCCCGAGGCCTCCCATGCAGTCCAGCCTGTGGTTTGGGGGGAGTACCCTTTCTGATGCACCCTGAAGGCAGCCGCCCCTGGGGCTTCTGGGAGAGACGCGGTGGCCCTGCAGAGGGGTCCAGTATCCCGAGTCCTGACAAGGAGATCAGCTCACCCGAAACAGGGCTGGGGTCCTGCTTAAGACTCATTCTCTCTCCTTGCGTCACTTGAAAACCATCAGGTTTAACTTCTGCAGAAATGGGCTCGATGCTTTTAAGGGTAGAAGGTAGCACATACGGGGAATAAAAAACCATGGGGGTGTCCCTGGGACTGGTCTTTGTCCAGAGGCCAAGGGCAGCCTGGCCACGGTCAGGGACTCGGGGTGCAGGCAGAGTGGGGCTGAGGAGCTGGAGCCCGGAGCCTAGCTAGACCTGCTCTCGAGCACTTCATCAGGGCCCCAAGCAAAACCTAATTGCTCATCTGTTTGCTTGTGTCCCAGGGTAGAATAAGCTTTTCACTGGGGCGGTTAAACTCCCTTTGCCAAGCCCCCGTCTCACTACAAATCAGTGCCAGAAAGCTGTGGAACCTAAATTTCTCTGTGTAGATCTTAGGAGCTTCCTGGAAGAACAACACACTGTCTTTCTGGAAGGCTTCCTGGAGGAGGACTCCAGAGTGGAGTCATTGAAGACAGACAGGATTAAGCAGGCACAGGGGGAGGGTTTCGGGGAGGACAGCAGTGTAAGCACAGGCTGGGAGGAGTGGAGGGCAGATCATGGGCTGAGCTCGTGGGCGGGGGTGGGCTGGGGAGGGGGTGTGGGTCCTGGGTGTCACCTCAGGTGCTTGCTTGGGTGCCCCCTCTCTGTGTGCAACGGGTCCATCCCCCTCTCCTCTCTTCTGTCTCCCTTTCAGAGCCAAGAAGAAGAGCAAACCCTTGAACCTCAAGATCCACAGCAGCGTGGGCAGCTGCGAGAACATCCCTGCACAGCAGCGCTCCCCGCTGCTGTGTGAGCGCTCCCTGCGCTCCTTCTTCGTGGGCCACGCGCCCTTCCTGCCCTCCACCCCACCGGTCCACACTGAGGCTAACTTCTCTGCAAGTAAGCGGCCCCCACCTGGCTCCCTCGCGGATCGGATGGGCGGGTGGGCGGGGGAGGGCAGGGTGCGCCGTGCCTGGCCCCTTGCCTCTGCCTGGTACCCCAGGCCCCGTCTGTGGAGCGAGAGGCCTCTGAGGCTTTTCTCCTCCAAGCCCTGCTGTGTGCTGGGTGTGCCTGGGTGTGTCAGGAGGTGAGGGAGCCGCTGCCGCTGGAGGAGCCGGGCCTGTCCGCTTTCTGAGCTGCCGGTCAGGGGTGGTCTTGGCTGCTGTGGACAGGCATCTGCGGCTAAGTCTGTTACTGCCCCACCCGCCCAGCGCAGGTCAGCACGCACAACCTTTACATTTCAGAGATGTATTTGGGTTCAAACTGGGCTGAGCGTGGCCTGGGGTGGTTTACATTCTGCTCCTGCGAATTTCTGCCAGAGACAGAGTGGTTATTACTCGCAGTGGGGATGCAACTTTCTAGTGATCCAGGGCTGAGCTCCGAGGAAGTGTTTAATCTTCTCTGCCCAGGTGCTTGCTGTGTGCACGGCACTGCGCGGTCGGTCGGTCGGGGAGGGCCCCGGCAAGTAGGGCCCGCTGGCCAGCCGAGAAAGAACTTCAATGGTCTAGGGCTTGGGCTCAGGGGAGCAGGGGCCCCAGGGCCTGGGGGAGGCCTGCTCCCTCCCCCCACCCCCCCAGTCTGCGCTGTGAAGGCCAGGAACTGCCTGTGGCTCAGATCCGCTCCTCACCAGCGCTGTCACACTGGTTCCCAGCAGAGGGCAGTATGGCGGAGTCGTGCCGTTGTGTAGGTGAGGAGACAGCACCTGGAGTGTCAGAGGACTTACCCACAGTCTCTGTGGTCGGGCAGTTGAGCCAGGATTTCAAGCTGGTTCTTTCTAACGCCAGGGCAATCAAACTTAACCATCACACATGATTTGATAACTGAAACCTGTCAGGTATCCAGCAGGCGGCTGTCTCTAGACGTGGGGTTCTGTTCTTTACCTTTCCATGAGAACGAAAGACCCTGTTTAGGGAGGCCCTGAGCCTTTAAGAACGTGATGAGAGCTGCGAGTCCCCTCCCTGGATGCGACACATGCCGTGTCTGGCTGTGTGTCCAGGGCCAAGCCCGCTGGGTTTGCAGCTCTGCTGTAGCCCAGCTGGTGGTTGGCGGGCAGGAAGGTGGTCTGTTTACAGACCCCAGTGTGTATGGGGCATCGCTGCAGGGATCAGCAGAGGGTCTGGAGCTGGAAGAGAGTCCTGCAGACGTCAGCCAGGAGGCATTCCAGAGCCTGGCTTGTCTCAGCGCCTGGGGCCATGGCTCTGAATTGAGCAGACTGAAATAACACTCATGACCAGAAGCCCAATTTATTAATTTGTCAAGGGCGATCACTGTCAGAGAGACCAGACATGCTCCGTGACAGCATGCCTGCGTGGCTGTAAGGGCGACATGGTGGCCTGGGCGAGGGAGGGGTGGGAGCACGGCCAGTGTGGCCTGGCAGCGGGTGAGGTGGGGGTCCGGGTGCCGGAGGCAGCGGCCTGGACGCGATTCCCACTTCTTTTGAGTGGGCTGCCTGACTTTGAGACGCTCAGAGCCCCTCAGCCTCAGTTCCCTCACCTGTGAAGTGGGAACGCAGCAGGCCACCTGGTAGAAGGTGTGTGGATCTGGCCTGCGGCCTGTGCCTGGCAGCGTCATCCCAGTGTCTCAGCTCCTTTCCCTGCGGTACTTCCGTCCTCTGGCTCCATGATTACTGTGGGCTGCAGCTCTCCCCGGACCCCGTCCCACAGCCCTGAGAGTGCCTGGAACATGCTCTGGTGTGGCGCTGTGCAGCTGCTCCGTGGCATCCGTCTGTGGGCACCTCTGTCTTGGGGGCCACTGTCAGCGGGGTGGCCTCACTTTCGGGCAGAGGACATCTCCCGGCTGACTTGAGCCCCGCAGACATGAGTGTTTAGACCAGCTCTCTTCTGCCGAGGAGTTCTACGGCTCTCACCAGGGCTCGCAGCTCTTCACGCCTGCCCGGGGCTCTCTGCAAGGAGAGGCTTCTCCACTTGCCAGTGATCGGGAGCAAAGTCCTTAATTAAAATCAGCTCCCGCACTAAGAAGCCTTAGAAGCACGGTTGTCCTTTGGACAATCTTGCTCTGAGGCTGCCCTTGGATCTCGCTGAAGAAAAAAGTGTCACGTGTCATTCATGGGCGGATTAGCATGTGACCCAAGTATGAGCCGGAATCCCATGGCCCAGTCTCCCCGGAGCTGATCTAAGAGTAACAGACGGCCGCAGCCGTGGACAGGCTCCCCTTGGGCGTGACTCGCTCTGCGTGGGAATCTTGGGCCTCTGTGCCCTGTCCCTCCTGGCACTTTAGCTCGTTGTCACAGACTCACACAGTCCCCGAGATGGGCATAATCAAGGAAACTGAAGTGCAGAAAGGGGAGAGTCTCACCATGCTGTAGGTTTGAATTCAGATCCGACTCTGGCCTGCACGTCAGCTCTTTGCAGGTGGGACCTCACGAGGGGCCATCCCCTCAGGGGGACCCTGTGGCTTACCCAGTGAGCTTCCTGTGGGCAAGTCTCTTGACACTTACAGTGCTATTTCTGGACCGCCGGGCAGCCAGGAGAGGCTGTCGGGACAGGCCGCGTCAGGGCCGCAGTCGCTGCCGGCTCCAGCCGTGACTGTGCTGGGAATGAGGCGACGCTCTGGCGAGAGCCTGCGGACAGCACTGGACAGACAGGGCCGTGGGAGGCCAAGCCGCGGGGTGCCCACTACCAGGACGCTTGAGAAGAGATTTCACCCCCGGACGCCTGTCCCGCCTCACTGGCCTCGGGGCGATGAGCAGGGCGAAGAGGGTGCCCCGGGACCTCCAGCTTATTGGGGAGCCTCTCTCTCAGGTCATCTGGCCCTCGGGGCCCCTAGCCGCATTCAGCCGCGGACACAGCGTGAGATACCACACTGTGCCGCTCCTGGAAGGCGCCGACGCGGCTCTGCCGAGCAGCGGTCACGCCCGTCTGTGCTGACTTCAGTCCCCGCTGCCCTCAGGGCCGTGTAGCCCGGGGCGCCGGCTAGGTGTCTGCTACCCGTGACCGGTTTAGGTCCAAGGATTTTGTGTCTGTGGCTCCTTGAGGCCGCAGTCCATGTAAAGAGACCTCTTGAGAATAAAAAAATGCTCCTGGGACAGGAGTAGCTACTCTCCCCGCGCGAGTGGCGGGTGGAGGTGATTCCCGCCTGGCGCGGCTGGGCGGCGGCCCCGTCCCTGGCACGCCTCGCAGCCCCTGCGTCCAGGCAGGGTGTGGCCGGACAGGTGAGGAGAGCGGCGGAGCGCTGGGGCCTGGCCCCGGTGCCGGGAGCTCCTGGGCCGGTGCCGAGCGCCGTGTGCGGGAGCGACCGGGGCGATGGTGTGGCGGGGGCCACGTGCCCTGTGCCCCGTCTTCACGGACCGTCCTCACGGAAGCTGGCCGCTGCTCGTCAGAGGGGCTCGAGGCGGTGCCTTTGCCCTCTGGTGCCTGCACCCGGGCGGGGGCTGCGTGTGGGGCAGCCGCCCCAGGGGCCACAGCCGCACAGTGAAGCACGCGTGAGCCTCCCTCCATGTGCTGCTGATACTTAGGGCCTGTCTCGGCTCGTCGCCCACCTGTGGGCACCGGGAAACCTACAGTTTTGCAACCCATTCATCTTGGGTGGAAGAAGAGAATTGACAGGGTAGTTTTGCCCTCTGCAGGAGCAGCTACCGACGGGGACAAGTGACTGATGAGCCCCTGTCTCCCCTGTCTGGGTCCCAAATGACACCAGCTAGAGTTTTGTATGAGGCTCCGGCCGCACGAAACAGCACTCTTCTCGGGGTGTTCTGGAAGCGGCAGGCCCCCGTACCCACCACTTCTCCTCACGGCCGTTCCCCTGGCAGCGCCATCCTTTGTCCTGGAGAAACAGCCCCGGGAGCTGACCCTCGCCGAGGGCGGGGGTGCGCCGTGAGGCTGAGTCAGGAGCCTGATTTGTTGAGGGAGGCAGCAGGTAGCAATAAAGACTGATGAAGCTGAACCGCACGCTCCCAAGAAACCAGCCACTGGAAGGGCTATAAAGAGACGCGGGATGGGGGTGATTATATAATGGGGTTTAATGAGGCTTGAGCCCAAGGTTCATTAACCGCCCCGGAAGAGAGGGAGGAGGGGTGCGCGTCTTGACAGAAGTTTGCTGCCTGAACCGCACTCCTGTCTCAGAATTGGGGAGATTGTGGGACAAGTGGGTCTCACTAGACTCAGTGGTGGTGATTCCAGGGGGGAAGCTGATGTCCCCTTGGGGTGACCCAAATACTTTAACCTCCTCCGCCCCCTGCCAAGAATGACCAGGAAAAACAGCCACTGTCCCCACCCCCTGCAGAGCAGACACGGGAGGCCCACGTGGCCTGTCATCTTTGCCACGGTTTGGAAGCGCAGGTCCCGCCAGGGCCCTGGCACGCGCGGCCCATCTGCGCCGGCCCAGGTGCTCGGCAGGTGCTGACATGTGTGTGCTGGGAACGGGGACACGAATGAGAGGTGCAGAGTGGAAAGCACCAGATCCTCATACTGTCTTTCTCCAGTCAGGCTTTGTGTTAAGTTCTTGCAGTGCGTAGTTCTTTCAGGGGTCATTCCCACAATTCAAGTCAGGCTTTACCTGGGCCTCTCATGTGTCCTGGACCGGCAGCATCAGCATCACCCAAAAGTGTGTCAACAACGCGAATTTTCGCTCTCCACCTCCCAGGCCTGCTGATCGAAGGGCCTGGCCCCCTGAGTCTTCACCAGCCCTCCAGGGGGCTCTGTGTACATCTGAGCATCACTTGGGATCGGACCTTTTCTTCCCCCTTAGTAAAGGTTTTTATTTTGAAATCATTTCACACGAGAGAAAAGCTGCAAGAACAATACTGAGGACTCCTGTAACCCTTTCCTTAGATTCATCCGTTTTTAGCATTTCCCTGCTCTTTCATTTCCCTTCCTGCCCTTTTCCCTGTGAACTCCAAGACTAGATTGTTTACTCTTATATAACCACACATTGATCAGATT